GCCGCGCGGTCGCTGGGACCGTGGGTTCGAATCCCACTCAAGCCATGGGTGTTTTTCTGTGTTGTGCTGTCCCGTGTACAGGTAGAGGCCTTGCGACGGGCCGATCCCTCGTCCAAGGAATCCTACCGAATGTCCATAGATCAAGCCAACGAAAAAGTTGAGACCCGCAGTGCTCAGGCATTTGAAGAACGGGTCGTTCCCAGTATACAGCAGTGTAATTGGTGAATACACAGTGGGTTCTTTCTTTAAAAATGTAAAATGGATTTATTTCAAACTATTGCTATTATTTTCTGGATTAATGTCTGTCACACTGCAGATTAGTCCTGCCATAAGTGACAGTACACGGAAAGACAAAGACATTTATTTTCAAACACCACCCAGTTACTTTTTGGGACAACGTAGAACAGACAGTTTTTAGAAGACGTCAAGAAGAGACGAGTATTTTTGACCATCAATGCACACGAAGCGTAAACAGAAGAAAAGAGGATTTCCAATGGAATTTTACCCAATAATAAAATGTTCCGGCTTACGGTAAGCATTTAATTTTTACAGAACAGTTGGTAATGTCAGTGGACTGTTGCACTAACCTTAATGTCACTTAGGTAAGCCATTCCTTTGCTGATCTGCCAGGCAAATGAAAGGATGTCCCTCGGAGTGGCAGGAGTGGTTGTGTATTCCGTCTCCTCTGTCGAGTCAGACTGCGCTGTATTACTGAAGCTGAAGGAGCACGGAATCTGCCCATCTGATTCAAGATGCCTGCTTTTCCTCAGGTAGTTCCTGAAACAGAAGAATATGGGTAATTGTCAGTCTCGATGATGAAGGTAACACATTAAGTAAATTAGATATATTGGATAAAATAATGGAGAGTTGTTTTGAGATTTCTGGTTCTTATGGCAACAAGTATGAATATGGCGGCCGCGCCTTATAGTCTTGTAGAAATTGACCAGTTTCAGAGGTGGTTACTGCCTCCAACATTATCATCATCATCATGATAATTCCAGAAGACTGTTATCTTTGTACTTGCCACCATGAGAAACTGAAATCTCACCTTTCACCTCATTTTTTTTTAAGTTGGCACGGTTTCCTGCAGAGGAATTCAGTAAAAGCCATTCACAAATGCAGTAATATCCTCTTCAGACCGCTATATCATGCATGTTAGCGGCTCTGTCTTAGCAAGAACTATTGTTCACAAGGAACGTGATGAAATAAAAAATTCTTCAGCGTTTTATGCATCGTCCTGTTTCTGCATTACAAACGTTCATCATGCACACTGATGTCTCAGTCATATTACATTCCACTAAAACATTTAATAAACCGTCGTGCATGTTTTATGGTACGGATACAAGAGGCGTTATTAAAGTCAGATAAAATACCGCTGTTTTATTCGCGTTTTGGACTTCGTCGAAGTGTCTCCGTTCGTTTTCAAGGTGGTCGCAATTCATTCGTAATGAAGATGCTAGCTGTTGGAGTAAATTACATTACCAGGGTACATTAAAGGCAGTAAACTAATGACGTCTTCTTGCGTCGGACCGATTCGTTTTTTAGTCTTGAAGCCCGTGTTTGTAGACCGTAATTGTGTCTGGAACTCTAAAATAAGCATTAGCATGATAGGCGTCGTCTCTGGATGATTAACAGTTTAATGGATTTCGAAATAGATTAAATAAATTAGCAGACTGCAAATAAGTTCTTGAATTGTCTGATGAGCAACCTTCAAGATTAATTATTTAAGCGAAAAGGCCACTTTAAAATTGTAACATAAAGTGAGTATTTCTCTCTATAAAACGCAAAGTTTTTTTTTCAAAAGTATTTTTTGCACTTAGGAAAGTGGTCTGAAGACAATCTGTGAACGCGCTTTGCTAGAAAAAGTAGCAGCATTCTACTACTGGCTGCCTTTTAAGTTTTATTCAGTAACTACTCCAAAAGTATTACCCTGTTTTTTTTTTATTTCCCTTCAAACTTCGTGTGTACAGGTTTAAATCGATAAAAACTGGTATAAAACTTGCCAACTAACCACCCGACATACTGGCACTGCCGAAGCAAAATATTGCTGGAAAGCGTAAAATAATTCTTGAAAACAGCTAATTTTGTATTAATTGCTTTGGTTGGTTCTTTTATGAAACATATAGATCTTTATATTTATGTCTTTTATAAGTTGCGATTAACTCGTCTCTTTGGAAGGCCTTTCCAGAAAAAGTAGCGGTCGTGTTTGTCAATATACGCATTTACAACACACACCTGAGCGAGCCGTATTCAGCGAACTCTATGATGAGGTAAACAGGAGAGCCAGGCGTTGTACAGGCGCCAAGGAGTCGAATAACATTCGGGTGAGTGACTTCTTTGAGGAGCTGATACTCTGACAACAGATCCGCCAATTCTGATGCACTGGCGTCTTCTTTGAGTGTCTTCACGGCCACAGTTGTGCATCCTGTGATATCGGAGAACCAATGTTAACTATCTGACTAAACAGTTTGACTTTCTGGCTATAAACCCTAAAGATTCAACAGAAAAGACCAGCTGTTATATTAGATGCATATTTAGATGCGAAATTATATAATAATTAATTTTGTGCAGTGCTTGACGTTAGTTGTGCTATTATTACTACTTACCAGATATTCCACCGATATCCAAAGCGCGTGCGCGCAAAACTCGACCGAACTCTCCTTCGCCCAACGTCTGTTCGATGATCAGTCGACTTCTGGGGAACTCCCATTTCGGGTCAGGCTGGTAACAAATAGTAAAGAGTCTGTTATTTCATGTTTACTGCATGGCGCTGCGAAGACAGGAATGAGTAAGGTATATGGAAAAAATACGTATTGAAAACACTCCTTTCTGTGTGAATTGTAGGGTTTTTAAGTTTTGCTTTCAGGCAACCTATGGACCTAATTTTTCACGCTGTCATCACACCAACATATTTTGTTGAATAATTTAATTATAATGACTTCTTCTCGGGCTACCAGCCGTGTCAGGTGGTTTAATTCTCGTCCTCAGGGTATGGCATTAGAAATCCGAATCAATACTCTAACTCAGCTTTTCTCAAATTGTGGGGCTCGAAGACTTTTCAAGATAAGTTGAAACTCAATTCTTTCGACACCATTTCCTAAATATCTCAGCTCTTGCTTTAGGAACTAATTCATTACCTCCAAGGAGATATCATATTTATTCTTTTTCTGTCAGAAATAGGAGGGCCTACATTCTGACCATTGACCAACACACGTCAGTCGAGTCGCCCGGTTGTCCTCTTACTATGAAATAGGAAGTCATTGCAAGATGTGGCGTCCTCATTACCGCGTAGTTTATGTGCATCTTCAGGGTCGCGTTGACACTGTTGATTTTTTTATTTGCTAAACGAAGCATGGGTACGCATACAAAGATTCAGTATACGTTGTTATCCTCATAACACACTTTGTTTTGTCCCAAGACACCTCGTTAAGCAGAGACTTAATTGTAAACGCGAATGGGAGGAGTTTCTTCTCTCAAGGTGTTAAACATTAATTGTTGTCATGGTAACCAAAGGTAAACAGAGGTGACATTGATTAATATATGTGTGCTTTTAAGAGAAATTCCATCGCTAGAATCAGTTTCCAGTTGAGTCACACAATCCCTTGCCTGTAGCACTTTGATTGAAAGTGCAGTACGTGACTGGAATTGGTATAGGTCCTGCTGTGTGGCTGGATTACAGATGCTTCCGGACTTTTGTTTCAAATCACAGTAAGAGACTTTCCTTTCTACCTGTTTCATATGAGAAAAACGTGTCACTTTAAAAGCCTGGGGGCATGTACTGACCGAAACCATAACATGTGTCGAATGAGAATTGTTCTAATAAACAGGACTGGAAAGTTTTATGCCAGTCTGGAGTAAACAGATCTTAAAAATATTTTGTACAGTCCTGTCTCATTCGACTTCATGTTGATTTATTGGAGGTAGAGATCTGTTGCTATTAAGTTTATCACATAGACAATTTAAAATTTAACATGCGTTTATTTTTTATGTATAACTGGGGATCGTACTGGGTCAATACGAACAAAAATTAAATTCGCCAATGGTTGTAGTTGAGACGCCTGTTTTGGAAACAAAATTCAATTTAAATCCATTGGACATGGGCCACAACTGTGAAGTTACGTTGATTCATTATTGAGTTATATAACGACACATTTCAACTGTGCAGTTTATAAAACCTTTGGTAGGATAGGCTGTTGGTAAAGTTAATCGAATAGAAGTTGGAATAAAATCTGTTTGAATATAATTAACCAAAACTTTGACGGATTGTGGGAAACCACGTGAAAAAAAAATGTACATGGGGTCTCGGGTTCGATTCCCGGCGGTGCCCGGATTTATAACTTGTGTTGGGCAAGGCCGTGGTCTAGGCAACACGGAGATTTCCTCCGGGCTCCGTTACGGATGAGTGTTGCTACTTCCCCGCGATGTTCAGTGAAGTTCTGTGTACATAAAAACCAAACGTATTCAGACTGGCTGTGTTTAAATCGGCGTTCACCAAACACTCATATTAAATAACTTTTTCTCAGAAAGAAAAATATACTGGCTCTTTGAGGGGATATTAATTCAATATATGAAAGCTTCAACGAAGAACTTTTTCTTAGTCGCTAACTTTTTTATCCTATATCCCTTTGTGGACTTCAAACATCTTCATCTCTGTATGACATGATAACAAGAACCCAACGTGTTCAAAATAAACTCACTTAATAAAAATCTCGTTGAAAGAATTTCCGTAAAAAAGTACCGCTGCAAAAAGAACGAATTTCCTGACTGATGTTATAAACAGAACTGAGAAACGTAACTTACCATTGACACTGATGACGTGAAGTATCAGAGCTAAAGGCGAACGATCTTGTGTTTGAAGGTGGCGGGTGTTGTGTTCTGAATATGAGTCACTGAATGTTTAGGATGGCATAACGTTTTTTGTGTACATTTGTCGGTTATAAATGCATCGTTGCATATTTTGGACATCCCTGAACGAAAGGAGCCCGTAATGTGAGTGAACTGAGTGATTTATATATTTGTGTTAAAATGGAGGCCTACGTGGTATGAATTTCTTTTACCTGAAAATTCTAAACTTTACACGTTTGTAATTTTTGGATACAGAAATATTTCTTATAAATCTGTAGTTAAGGCCTGTGGGCCTATTAAAATCTTTGTCAAGTTTCATGTTTCCAGCTCCATCATATATTTCACATGATGGTCATGTTATTTTACATTCTGAAAAAAAATACCGTACCAAAAGTTGTATATTTCGCGAATCTCTATATCCACACAGCATTTGACACTACATTAAGTTCACACTTACCACTCGCATCTTAGAAGTTCGCATGGACGCCTTGTTGGTATTATTTATGGTATAAAATGGAGATCTCCGAAGCATACAAAGTTTTATGAGAATATTTCAATTAGTTGCAAGCTTTTTTTTCCTCGAGGGGATGATACCATACGCGTGAATGAGAAGGGTTAACGGGTAAACAGATTGTACTTACCGCTGTTCGTGGGTCAGGGGAAGGAATAGGAGCTGTTGGGTCGTAGCTGAGGAGTTGAGCGTCGCCAGATTGAAGAGACCGGTCCACGTAGTCTGACTGGACGCCGGAAAGAGACGCGACGCTACCCACACATTTCCGATCCCGTCTTCCTTTCCCAGACATTCTGATTTAGAAGACAATAAAACAATTGGTCATTGAGTTGCGTTTTAGAGGTTGGGAAGATCGTGGCCATTGATTCTTCGACCAGAGACTAGGACCATCCATTTCGTTTGTTGACGGTGTCAGTTGTAGATCGATATTAACATGTAATTTTGTGGGCGTACTGAGGAAACTGAAGGTTTGCGATCAAACTTGGTTTCCAGTTTTCTGTGGTTAATTATAGTTCCTGTAATTTTTGTGTTTTCTTGCTAATTGGTAACTACATGAAGAATAAACATATTGAAATATAATTGAGAATTTGTATAATTTAATGTTATCTGCCTATCCTAACTATACAAAAGTTTATAAGTGTGTAGTTTTTAAAGGTGCTGACCTGTATTTCCAGCAGATGAAGACGCC